AGAGGCAGCTGTTGGTGGTGAGACAGGTGTTTTTGGTATCTCTCTGCTCCCTTTTCACAGAATCCTGGAATGGTTTGGGTTGGAAGAGACCTTAAAGATCATCTCATTCCACCGCCCTTGTTCCACTGGACCAGGTTGCTCAGAGCAGCCTCGTTTAAAAGTTCTTGACCTCAACAACTTCCTGCAGCTGAATTAAACATTGTGAGAAAAAGGACTTCCCAGGTTTGGAGTTCCTGCCCTGTCCATCACAGTGTGGGGAGTGGGATGGTCTCCTCATCCTGATTTTACTGCCTTTCAGGGGGAATGGGGTGAAATTCTGGGAGATGCTGCTGGGCAAGACCCAAACCCCCTGGCTGGGACACTGAAAGCTTTGGCTGAAGATTTGTTCTGACTTGTCAGAAGCTCCTCTGGATTCTCCAAGGTGGATTCACCCACGGGAGTAAATGCCTGCTGGCTTTGGGCTGGTATCCGAGATCTTCCCAATCTTGGCTTGGCTGAGGCAGCTCCTCTAATTCTTGTGGAGCGCCCTGAGGAATTACAGTTTAAAAGGAAACAACCTGGTTTAAAAAAAAAAATTCCTGTGGTCCAAATATGCATTTCCCGCTTGCTATTAATATCTCAGGCCTTGATCCTCCTCCAAATGCTCATGCAGGCATTTAAGGGCTTGCAGAGGAGTGGTGCCTTTGATTCCAGAGTGGGAATGTTTGCCGGGATGGGGAATTATTAAAGATAAAAGATGCTTTCAAGTGCAACGCGCTGCCCATGTTTTCCAACGTGATTTATTTGCTTTCCTGGTACTTCTCCCAGCCTGGCAATGAAAAATTCATTTCCAAGTTTCGTGTGGAGGTTTGGAGTAACTCGTGCTTTGGGCACAAACTCCAGCCTTTTTTTTCTAGAGGTGATTTCCAGTGGAACAAGACAGACTTTCTCTTTCTGCCTGCTGTTCTGGGAAGCCTTTTATTTTTCAGCTCCCACTTTGGGCCCTGTTGGTGGTCCTTCTCTGCAGCAGCAATGTTGCATTTGGGAGGAATGGCTGCAGCTGCTGCCATCTAATGGGAGGTTTCAGCCTCCACAGATAATTTAAAAAAAAAGAAAATAAATAAAAATGTAAAAAATAAATAAAATTAAAAATAAAATAAAACAAAATAAAACCTTTTCCTGCACAATCCTGCTGCCAGTCAGTGAACCAGCATCTTCCACACTTAATCCCAGCACATTTAGGCAAAGGGAAAAGCTGATCTGATGGGTGGCTGGGTGGCTTTGCCCAGGAAGTGTTGCAGATCCAGTAAAAAGAACCTTTTTGGGTTGATCCATCATTTCAGCTTCTCTTGTTGTGGATCAAACTTTACAGATCTTGTTATGATGCATCTCTTATTATGGGTCAAACTTGCAAAGTACTCTTGGCAAGATAAAAGCAGAAATAGTGAAGATGACCCTAAACAAAAACAAGAAGCCATTCCAGGTATCCCAAATACCAAACCCAGGCCCAGCTCTGAGCTGAGCCACATAAACCCTTCCCAAGGAGGTGCTCCAGCAGTAAAAATGTCATATAAAGAAACATGGTAAAGAGGGATAGACATGGAATGGGAGCATAAATACATTGCACCAAGAAAAGAAAGCATTTAAATGATAGGGCCAAGGGAAGATGAGTTGGGACAGGCTTGGGGAAGACACGTAGGGGATGGAGAATTTAGAGTACAGAGGGCTGGGGGGACAAGCTGGGGTGTGCAGGGGAGATAAATTGGGGTGTGCAGGGGAGATAACCCATCCTGAAAGACTCAGAAATTCCTGTGTTGCTGCAAAGTTATACCTGGCTGGTGAAGTTGGGATATATAAAACATATATAATTATATATAAAAATATATGGTGTTACAAGAAACCCCACTCTTGTTGTCACTTTATTTTTCTAAAGCAGAAACTGGCTACTATTATGCTTTGCCATTATATTCATATAAATAACAAAAAGCAAACCCAACTAGGCAGAATTATTTCCCCAAAACCTGCATATAAACACAGTCTTTAAATACTCCCGTTGAACTGCTGGGAATTTACACAGAATTGATAAAAATACTAAAACATAAGCACTGGCATTCTTATTTATTTAGTCTGCATGTGGGGGTTTTTTTCCCCTGCAAAAAATACAGTTGTATCAAGCTGTAGAAAGAAAACAAAAGAAAACAACCCTTGAAATTGTGACATGTGCTTATTTAGACTTTTCAAGCTGGGTTTAAAACCAATAAAGAGCTGGCTCAGTTGCAGAAGGACAGGATGCAGCAGCTCCCTCTTCCCTGCCCAGCCTGGGATTTGCTACAATAGTCCAAAAATCTGCTCTGGGGGCAACAGGATGAAAAAAGCTCTCAGAAGCATTTATCTTTTTGTTAGCCTGGATGTGCTCTTGGGGCTTTTGAACTTATTTTGAGCAAAATATTCAGTAGGTTTCTGTCAGGACCCATCACTGCTCACTGGCAGGATGAACCAGGAGAGGGAAAAATTAGCTTTACCTTGCCTAATTGGAGAGATTTAAGTGCAGTTAGGATGAATTGAATGTCCCATTGTTCCAGGTAAATCCAATCCAAAAAGTCCCCACTGCCCAGAACACCAACAGACTTAAACCCCCTTTTTTTATATACTTGGGTGACTCCAGGTATTCATTTCTTCTATCCCAAGGCTTGGTTTTGCTCCCTGTTGCTTCCAGTGTCGTTCCAGCATCTCAGATCCAGCCAGGTTCCTTTTCTACCTCTTTCCTTGGTTTTTTTATCTCCAAAAGAAAGTGTTTAGCTCCAAAACAAGCGTTTTGGAGGGCTGGTGTGCCCTGGGGCATGGCAGGAGCTTCTCCACAGTGCCTTTTGCTCTCAGCATCCAAGGAATATCAGGCAAGAAAAACACACAGGGAGCAGAGAAGGTGTCCAAGGGCTATTTTTATGCTTTTCTGGCTGTCCCTGCAGTTTAAAATCATGGTGGGCAGGTCTGTCCATCACCAGCAGCAGTTCTTTTTCTTCTGGGGTGCCTTTGGTACCTCTTCTGCCTTTTTTTTTAATTCATCTTCACGAACTTTGAGCAACCTGGGAGAAAAGGAAGCAAATTAGGTGGGTATTTTCCCTATATTTCATATTGCTGTGCTCTTTCTCTTGACAAGCCTTGGAAAAGGAGGCTCAGCAAGGCTGAAAGGAGTCAGGAGCCTTCCAGCTCTGCGTGATCTGAGAACTGGGGACTCTGCTAAAAACACCAACCTAAATCAAATCACAGACAGAATTTGTTTCAGTCAATGCAGAGGGAAACCAGCAGCATCCCAAAAAGGGTTTTATTGATCTCCTTGCAATTCTGAGTGTTCAGGAGACAACTTACAGCACTTCCCTGGCTCACCCCAGCCATGCACGTGCTGCCCTGAGTTTTCCCTGATGTTTGGACACATGGAGCCTCTGGTGGCAGTGACACACCAGAATTTGGAGTTAAAAAAGCAGGGAGGGAGCCCATTAAACAGAGGAGAGCTGGCAGAACCCAAGCCCATTCCCCTCACCTGATGAAGCTGACCATGGACTCCAGGACGTTGTGGCCCGAGGCAGCGCTGCACTCGTAGAACATGAGCTGATGCTCCTGGAAGACACAGATCCCAAAAAGAAATGTAATATTCTTGCCCTGGAATAGCTTAGTATGGGAATAAACAGCCCTAGGACAGTCACTGTCAAGGGGAAACAGGAAAGAATCAAGGAAACATATAACTCAATAACTTATCTACTGGAATGTGAGGGTGAAATCCAGTTTTTCTGGTCGCTATGACTCCAACTTTTAACACCAAGGAAAAGGCTGACACTGCAAAGCAGTATGAGATGTGATGTCCTTTGGTTAGCAGAGACATAACTAGATGTTACCAGCTCATTTGTGCCTGACAGTGACCAATTTGGGAAAATAAGCATCTATTCATTCCCTTGCCCTGCTGTCTCCTTTGTAAAACCATTCGATGGATACTGGCCCAACTCCCATAAACTTTAAAATTAACTCGGTTAAGATGAGATTCTTCTCATTCTTCTCACCTAATTTTTATTAGCCATCTATATTTGTAGAGATTAACTGTACTTTAAGTATTTCAGTATCTTTAAAGCAGGACAGGGCTTGGTGGGTTTATTGTTTTTATGGTGCTAAGAAGATGTGTGACACTTCACAGCAAAGATAAGCAGAGCTGAAAATGTTTTAATTCACAGATCCAGTTCCATAAACTGATTTACTGGGGTGGTGCTGAGCTGAAGCTAAAACAGCAAAGGGAAAGCAAGGCAGGGAAGGGCAAGAGATGAGTCCAGAGAGCACTTTGCCAACCACTGGTGCATGAGGGGCAAATTAGGGGATTCCACCTTTCTCCAGGTCCTCAGGCTGGTGGAATCCATCCATAGCTGTCCCTGCCAAGCTTAGGTGGACACACTTCACCACCTACCTTGGCCAGGCATTCCCCCTCCTTCACAGGGACCTGTCTCTCGGCAGCACAGTCGGTTTTGTTCCCAAGAAGCAGAACAGCAACTCCATCCTCTGCTGCTTCCTGAGTAATCAAAGAGGGGAGAATCAGGAGAGCATCTGAATCTCCCTTGAATCCCAGCTGGCCACACTGTCTACACACTTCTTGGAACACCATGAAAGGATGCCCATGGATTTGGGCTGATAACAAAACTGTAAATTCTTAAACAAGTTTAACAGCATTTAAGAAATTATTTTTTCCCCTTAAATCATCTGTCCTGGCCTACTAACAGGGCATGAAATGAATTTACTTTGTGTTCAGCTTCAGGAACCCTCCTGGAGGTGTTCTGGCTGGGATTTACATGCACTGAGCAAGGCAACATCCTATTTTGTTCCAGAGATCTTAAACAGTGGCTTTGTACTCAAATGGAAATCTCTGACGAGAACTTTTTAGTAAGACATGAGTCACCTCCCCTTTTCCAGGACTTGAAGTGGATGATTTTTGATTTAAAAGCATTATCAAAATCAGCTTCAACATTTTCCATTCCTCTAAAATCAGTTTCAACATTTTCCACTCCTCTGTGCTGGTTTTTAATTTTTCAAGAGTTGCTCATTATCCTAACAGTGCTATCAACAAATTACTCCAGGAAACACTGGAAAAATATGAAAATTGTCTGCATTTGATTTAAATCCTCCAAGAAAAATTATTTTATAACCAAAGCCAAGCAGAGTCCCCCTCTCAAAGCGCTTGGCCACCCCTAGATGTCCATCCCTAACCAGTGGCAGAGGTGAGGCGGGGAAATGCTGGTTTCAGAGTCACCAGCAGCTCCAAGAACTCTTGGACTTCACCCACCTGGATGCAGCTGAGCCAGTACCTCACGTCGGAGAAGGAGTATTGGGATGTGATGTCGTACATGAGCACGACCCCGTCCGCCTTCCGGAAGAACTGCTTGGTCACGCTGTGGTACCTGTGAGCAATTCAGAGGGTCACCAGCACAGCTTGAGGAGGTTTTGCCTCAGAGTGACGTGAAATCCTAGAGGGAAAACTGGGAATGTCTACAAAAAAAGGCTACCCCCAGGTTTGGCTCTTGTCCTGATGGCAGAGGCCAGTTTTATCTTAATTGCTTCCTTTATTGTGCTTTATCAGATCACGTGCTGTACAGAGTCCCTCCTTAACCCCTCCTTTGCTTAGCAAAGCCAAGAACATTCATTTCCACCAAACCAGCAGGAGAAAGAAAGCCACAGGTTGTGTCCTTCAGCAACAGCACAGCACCTCACCTCTCCTGCCCGGCTGAGTCCCACAGGCGGAGGGCAAAGCGCTTGTTGTCCACAACCAGGTTTTTGATCCGATAATCCAGGCCTGGAAGACACCAAAGGGGATATTTGGATACTGTAGCATTCCTCCCTGTGGCAGAGGATGGATGGAGAAGGAACATGGTGCAGAGTGGACTGAGGCTGGAGCTCCAGGGGTTGGTTTAAGAGAAGTGAATACCCTTGTATTCTTATACCCTTGTATTCTTATACCCTTGTATTCTTATACCCTTGTATTCTTATACCCTTGTACTCAAGAGAAAAATATGTAAGAATGCAAATATAAAGAGCTTAGCCAAGCCACAACAGATAGATACAATATTTGCCTTTATGTATTTAAAAAACTACGTGTTAAATAGGGTTATTTTTGCACTTAAATGGTACAAAATGATTGAAAAATTACAGTGCTCACGGCTTAATGTATGTTTACTTTCAAGTTGAGATTAACATACCCCTGGAAAGAGATCTGCAAATATCATCACTAAATACTATTCACTACTCTCTTCATTTTAGAATATGGACTCTGGGAGAAATGGGGTGAAGAGAAGAGAATAGGTCTGAAAGGCAAAGGGGGAAGCATGAGAGCCACTGGTATTGGTGCCTGCTCACGAGCAGCCAGGCGTGGGAATTTGGTGGTTCTGGTTGGTCCCTGGGGGTGGGTTGTGCCACACGCTTGGTGTGAGCTGTGACAGGCATGTAAAGATCACCAGCAGCTTGTGGGGTGGAGGAAAGGGAGTTGCAGTGGTAGTCCAAGAGAGGAGAGCTGGAGGAGACCTACCCACTGTGGCGGTGAGGTTGGGGTTGAAGCTGTCGGCGTGTAACCGGTACAGGAACGAGGTTTTGCCCACGTGGGAGTCCCCGACAAACAGCACGTTGTAGAGGTGGTCTGGGTCCAGGGGAGCTTTAGGACAACCCTTTGGGGCAGCTCCTGCTCCCTCTGCAGTCACAGCTTCTGGCTCTCCTGGGTTGGGCTCGCCTTCCTGGCTCGTTTTCTGACCAAACTCTCGCGGCTTCTCTCGTTGACCAGCTCTGAGGTCTTCGCTCTGCTCTCCCAAGAGCTGCCTTTGAGGCTGCACACAGCTGTTGGCTGCATCCCCCAGGGAGCTGTCTGTGAGAACCACCCCCAACTGATCATTCCCAGCATCTTCCTGCGGTTGGACCCTCAGCTGAGGGGTTGACACTGGTGGCACCTCTTGCTTTGGAGGCTCAGCAGGTCCGGCAGCCGCCTGCTCTGGTTCCACCACACCCGGTGTCTTCCCCTCCGGCCGCTGGGCAGGGGTGTGAATCCTCACCTGGTGTCCCTGTGCTGAGACCTGCTCCTGGAGCTCGCTTTGGGCTGCCTGCCCTGAAGCACAAAACCGCCACACATCTGGAATGAGAACATCCTCCTGCATCATCCTTTCCAGCTCTGCTGTGCCAGTTTGTGACGGCACCTCGGAGACCGGGGAGGCCGGTGCAGACACACCGTCATCGTGGCCCTGACTTCGTCCTAGACCCTGGGTTTCCACCACATTCTTCACCCCTGCCTCCAGCCTCTCTCCCTGCACCACTTCCAGACCTTGAGCTCCATCCAGAGGCCTCCCCTCTGCAGCAGCCCTCTCTCCCTGTGGTAATTCCAGTGCCTGGGTATCCCTCAGGATGTGCCCATCAGGACCAGTGGGTGCTCCCAGCTTTGCTTCCAGACCAAGACCCTCTGCAGGCCCAGGATACGAATCAGCCTCAGCTGGAGGGGGCCCATGTGCAGCAGCAGCTCCCTGCCACGTGTCTGTGAGGTGAGCTGCACATAGACCTGCCCCAACACCTGGAGTCAGGCTCTGCTCCCCTTCCCACATCCCAGCTGCACCCAGGGGTGCCACACCTGTCTCTGCACTCCCCCCTGGGGTCAATTTGAGCTCATCCTCCTCTGTAGGCAGCTGCATATTGGCACCAGTGCTCTGGCCCTCCAGTGTGTCCAGGCTTTCAGCCTCCTCTCGTAGTTGTTCTCCTGCACCAACCCCCTCTCCCTGCCTGGCTCTTGCTCCCTGTGGATCAAGCATGAGTTCACCCTGTCCTTGTCCCCCGTCCTCAGCCTCGTCCCTGAGCTGCACAGCTCCATTGTCCCCCTTTCCCTGGGGGGTTTCTGGGCTGGCACCCCCACACAGCTGCATGTCTGTCCAGGAGTCCTGTGTCTCCATTTCCACTAACTCTGCTTTATCCACCTGGTCCAGGGGTTGCACTCCTGGATCCACACTCCCTCCCTGCTCTGACCCCAGGGAGTCAGTCTCACTCAGGGGCTGCAGATCTGACTCTGTGCTTCTTCCTGGGGCTGATTCGAGCTTATCCACCTCTGTAAGCAGCTGCACATTGCCATCAGTGCTCTGGTTCTCTGATGTGTCCAGGCTTGCAGCCCCTTCCCACAGCTGCACACCAGCACCAGCCTCCTCTCCCTGCCCGACTGCTGCTCCATGTGGATCAAGCACAGGCTCCTGTGGCAGCTCACACTCCCCCTGTCCTTGTGCTCCACCCTCCTCCTCGAGCTGAATGGCTGTTCCACCCTCCCCTCCCCATGGGGCTCCTGGGCTGAGACCCCCACGCAGCTGCTGCACATCTACCTGGGCATCCTCTGCCTCCGTTTCCAGAAACCCTTGTACATCTACCTGATCCAGTGGTTGCACACCTGGGTCTGTGCTTCCTCCCTGCTCTGTCCCTGTGGATCCAGCCTCACCCAAGAGCTGCAGATCTGCTTCTGTGCTCCCTCCTGGAGGCACTTTGAGCTCCTCCTCCTCTGCAAGTGACTGAACAGTGGCATCAGTGCTCTGGTCTTTCAGTGTGTCCAGGCTTTCAGCCTCCTCCTGTGATTGCATGTCTTCACCAGCCCCTTCTCCCTGCCAGACTGCTGCTCCTTGCACATCAAGCACAGGCTCCAATGGCAACTCACACTCAACCTGTCCTTGTCCTCCATCCTCCTCCTCCTGCTCCAGCTGAACAGCTTTTTCACCCTCCCCTCCCCATGGAGCTCCTGGGCTGAGACCCCCACCCAGTTGTGTATCTGTCTGGGCATCCTCTGCCTCCATTTCCACTAACTCTTGTTCATCCACCTGATCCAGGGACTGCACATCTGGATCCAGTCTCCCTCCCTGCTCTGTCCCTGTGGATCCAGCCTCACCCAAGAGCTGCAGATTTGCCTCTGTGCTCCCTCCTGGGGTCAGTCTGAGCTCATCCACCTCTGTAAGCAGCTGCACGTTG